CGGGGAGGGTGGCGGTAAGGAATGCGGTGCCCCCCCCCCCCCCACTCTGTCACGTGCCGCGGATAGCAGCAGCAGCAGTAGGGGATAGGGGAGGGAAATCGGGTCAAAATCCCGGATAGAATTGGCACGGGACTGACGAGGTCGTTCGTATTCGCCGATGCCGTGCTTCCATGTTTCTCTTTTATTTTTCTCTCTTTTAGAATATTCATTTTTAAATTATTTTTTTCTTCTCTTTCTGCGACTTGACCTTCTTCTCGCGTCAAAATCTTTCTTTGGTTTCTTTTTTTCAAGTTCAAATTTTCGCTCTGATAGAAACTGATTTTTTGCTGTGTGTGTGTGGGTTTTGCGCGGACTGAGCAACTGAGTATCATCAGACGGCATTTGGGAGATTTATTTTTCAAAGAAGAACTTCATTTTTTTTGTCGCCTATTCCTATACTGTCCTGTATTCATGAAAAAGTAACGAACGTGCAAGCACTTGAACGCTGGTTATCTTTAGTGTAGTGTGTCTATAAATGAGATTCTTTATTCTTTTTAGCAGGGGCATTCTGCGTGTTTCACGAATGACTCTTATTCCTGTCGCGATGAAGGATCGCAAAATTCAAGAAAACTTAATGAGGAAAATCATGCGATTCATGGAAGGTGGATTGGGACTTCGTTTTCGTTCAGTACAGTAGGTTTAATTCATTCTAAGTTATCTATGGATATTACCGGTTGGGTGAACGCGGTACCTTCCTTGCGAAGTACTGGGTACTTTTTTGTTAGGATGCGAGATAAATATTGCATTGTAGCTTGCTTAGTATGAGGTCATTTGGGAAAGGCCGTTTGAGATTCATGAACATCGCGCTGAACCATCTCGGCATGCGCATCACATTTTTTTGATGAAAAGGAATTGAAATGAGTTTATGTCCGGATTGAAGAATGGATTCCTTCTTCATGTGGAAAATTAAAATTATCTTTAATCGACGAATCTGGCTTCATTTAATGGTCTGTTATACGCAGTGAATTCTTAAATACTTGTTTGAAGAGTGAGGAATAAGAGGGCAACTCATTCCTGTGCTGTCTCTTAGATTTCTTATAAGGAAGGAATTCGACAATTTGTATCCAGAATTAATCCCTTCTCTAAAAAATGTATATGATTGATTCAAAGGGTCACTGAAGTGTAAAAGAGAACGTCGCACGAGGTATTCGAACAGATCTTGATTTTCTTCTTAAAAATTATAATGCTGTAGAAGACCAAAATATTATTGATGATCTCTATAAAAATATTCTAAAATGTGGGAAATGAAACTTCCTTGAATTTGATAGGAACGCTTTCCACCGATTCAAGCGCCTGTCATCGGATCCCCATGATTGATTCATTCCCAATTGCTTATTCTTTTCGCATTTGTTGTTATAAAAAAAAATCAACGATAAAAGATGACAATATCTTGGAGTGTTATTTGATCGTCATTAGTTGTATCTTTTAGCTTAACATGTTATACGAACGAAATAAAAGTTTGCATTCTTTAGGAATTCCGACAGCCCGTATGTAAGAAAAAAAACACGTGTCGACGTCAGACATGGATCATGGCAGCCCCATCTTTTCAATAACTCACGCAGGTATTCCAGGGTTGAATCTTTCATTCATGCAGACGCCGACCCCCGGATGTACTGTAGAGTACTTGCTGAGTTTACCCCAGAGAGAAACCCGGAGGATTTTTGCGAGAAAGTGTTCGAGTATTTGTGGGAGAAAGGATGCATAATTCAGTCCCTGTCCTCCCTCAGCTTCATTTTCGTGTCCATCGAAAAATTCCCCAACAGTCATTTAAAAATTTAGTGTGAATTTACCCCTTCTTACATGTTTGAACATTTCTTTCCGTGTAATTCGAACACATTTCTCCGATCGCTCGATGCACGGACTTGTGCATTTTAGAAACATTGTTTTTTTTTTTAATCTTTCGGATGTCTTCGTGAAATTTAAGCTTAGATTTCAAAGTGAGTTTATCGAAAAATTTCCACGAAGGCAGGAAATCATACGCTCCTAATTTATGCAGTCACCGATTCCCAGATGTAGGAGTAGAACCAGAACAGAAACCGAGGGAATGTTTCCGAAAAAATTGAATTATTTGAGGAAGAGAGGATTCATAATTTTTAGCGTGCTTATTTTCATTTCGCCTTCATCGGAAAACAAATTAGCATCGTTAATTTGAGCATTCAATTTAAATTTCGTGCTTCCCGGGCTTTGAAAATTTGTATCGTAATTACAGTACGAACAACTTTTTTCTTCTCTCGATGCACGGACTGATGCATATGAGAAACATTAAAAATTGACAAAATCGCCCCCTTTCATTTTTAAAATTAGCGCTTCAACTTCAAATTGTGTCTGTGGGGGTGCACAAAAAATGCAACCACCGCAAAAGATTGGTAGCAGAGCGTTCTACGCCCTCAATTACTTTTCATATTCAACCCTAAAATACCTGTGTGAGCTATTCAGTGATTCCTGCCCTTCCACGCAAATATTGACACGATCAATTGACAATTCAAGAGAGAGAGAAATATAGAGAAAATACAGAAAATCATGCTCAGCTCATTCCTCTCTCACCGCATACCTCCGGATGTACTTCCAGAGTCGACCCAGGAAAAAAAAAAACCCGAGAGGATGTTGACGAATAAATGAGAGAGAAAAGAAAATCAGTATTCGAAGCAGAAGAGGAGGGAATCATGGCCGGGTCCCTGCCCTTGCGCGGTTTTATTTCCGTGTGCCTCAGCGGAACCCGGGGAGAGTGGGAACTAGGACCAGGTGTGTCCCGACTGGCTGCCAGTGTGTCCCGGGCTGTTTGCTCCTTTGGCCGCGACGATGTGGCATCTCAAGTGTGCCCATCTCTAGAAATACGCAAATATGTGTGTGTGTGTGTTTTGAGGGTCAGGGAAGGACGATTTCAAAACAATTTTTTCTCGAAAGGGGGTGTTTGCTTTCGAGAGTGCCCAAGATACTGGATTGAATCGGAGCGAGATGATCTTCATTTTTTGGCAACCCGAATATTAAAAAAAAAGTAGTCATATTTTCTTGCGGCCGTCAGTCGGAGATCTTTCGAAAGTAACTCCGAAAAGTCGTTTTCTTGCGTCCCCACTAAAACAAATTGCCGAGAAAAGCCTTGAAAGGACTTGAACCACCCAGTTTTTGTCAAGTTTAATTTTAAATCTTGAAATCAGTAAACTACGTTTGTTACGATCTTCAAGAGACATGCAGTGCTGCGTTTTCCTTGAGAAATATTGCAAATTTCCGTGGGCGCCTGAAAAGAAACCCTTCAAAGGATTAAAATAACCAAGTTTTCTCAAATTTCAATTTTTCATCTTTAAAGGAAACTCTTCAGGAGTATCCAGAACTTTGGAATGAATAAAATTAAGGTTTATTTTATTTAGTGATCCGAAACTTTTACGGAATTTTTTTTTTCTGAAAAAAATGGCGAAGGAAAACCTTAAAAGTATAACTATGAAACAACCCAGTTTTAAACTAATCTAATTTTTCATCTTAAAATCCACGGACGATGCTTGTTACATGTTGAGCTTGAAATCCGTAGAGCTCATAACTATTTCGACTGCATTACATAATTGTATAGTGAAGTATTTCTAAATTCGCTCAAAACTTCGCAAGATTTTTGGTGATCGTGGAAGTGAAGAAGGGAAGTCTGATGGCAGTTTTGCAAAGCCAACTCAAAGTACTGAATTATGCTTCATTTTTGACAGGCATTTCCCGTTTATATTTTTAAGAAGAAAATGTAAATAATCGTATCCGTGCTGAACTACTGGAAAGTTATTTGTGTTCGTCGCCGAATGAATACGTGTTAAATCCTTCTGCGCCTATATAAAATGGAAAAATAAAGAAAGTTGACAAGAAATGAGAACCTGCCGAAATTACAAATGTCCCAAATCAAACAAGCGAGATTTATTTGCTGAAATGTTGATGATTTGCTCGATGAAAACCAACGCTTGTTCAAAAATAATTCATTCACGGTGAAATTTTTCCCGTATGAACTTCGGCCTTTTAAATTTCCGGTGTTCCTCCTTCACAGCTCAAAGTTCAGGCTTTTTTGTTTGTTTGTTGCAAAAGTCTCTAAAAATTTCCTCTAAAAGAACGGAATTTTAGAGTCTGAGACATTTTGAAAAATGCAGAAATTAAATTATTTCAAAGCTTCTGCAAAAGTGTCCGTCCTCCGTTTCGCTCACGAGTACTTCGCGAAATGTTGTTCTTGAATTTAAAGTACAGTACTGTAGTACGGTGATGGAATTTTGATGCAGCCGCATCGGAGTCCGAAGGGGGGAATGAAATTCACGTTTTGAATCGGCCTTCAAAATTCTCCATCCTTCGAAATGCGACTTTTGAGGCCAAGCATCGTTACCACAACGGTGGGTTTTTTATTTTCTGAATTTGCGTGCTTATAACTTGTTTTTCCGAATTTTTTTCTGGAATATAATTTCGGTGGAGTATACAAAAAATTCAATTTCAATAAGGTTTGTATGATGCCCTTCGTTTTTAATGTCACAGAAGCCACCAGAAATTCTTTGTGGACCAAACAGTACAAGTAATGACAGTAATATGCTACTGAGGCAATTGAATTGATTAAATCCTCGCATCAACGCAAATATGTATTCATTTGAAAATTTTAAAATCCTTCAAAGAGGATATACGGTCCATTCCAAAATTCTGCTGCAAAAACAAATTGAAATACGTGGAATCAAACAATGAAGGCAATGATTCTGAATTCAACCTCGTCCTTGAAAATTTTATGACGTCACCCGGTATTTGATTTGAAAATATTTCATTATATTTTACATTAGAACTTCAACTAACTGATGGATGAAGAAGGCCGAATTTTGTTTATTGTTGTGAAACCATGTGGTCAATGTACATCTTAATAAAAACAACTTTAGACCTAGAATATTCTGCGAGGTCTTGAATTGAAGCTCAAACTTTTCTTTAATGATTTAAAATTTATCCGACTGATGGATCCTGTGATATTCTCACTTTTCCGAATCTAACTTTTTCTTCAGTGATGAGAATCTGGAAAACCTTCATGCCAGATTCTTATCCTACTGATGCAGTGCCTTCAAAAACCTAATTTCTTACCGCATGAATGAATTTATTTCTGCGACACATCTCTTCAGACTCCAATTATCAGGTTAAGGGTATACACGGGTCATTAGCCCGGATAATAGAAATACCGCTGTATTACAATTCTAATGAGAAGAAGTGAGGGTAATTTCGAATTGACAGCGTCGTTGCGGGATCTAATATTCCGAGAGGTCGGAGTCGAGTCGGTTATTTCCAGTACTCGATCCCCGGGTTATGTGTTTTCCTTCCCAACAAGACCGGGAAAGCAATTTCGGCATTCCATATTTATCCGCTTCTTGTCACGCCATGGGAAATTTGCTCATGCCTGGAACTGCACTTGGTTCGGTGGCTACAATCGGGAACGTAATTGTTTTTACACCCTCCCCCATTTTTTGCCTCTCGGGGAGCTTTTAATCCCCGACGGGATTTTTTTTTTAAATGGAGGAATGCAGAATGATCCGTGAAGAGAAAATGAAAATTGTTTCTCTGCACACAGGAAAAAAAAAATGTTTACACTGTACCTTGCTTCTTGCGGGATGCACGGGGAAAATAGCGGAATGGATGAGAGAAATTGCGCGCAAAATCACTGGAGTGCAATCCGAAAGAGTACTACTGTAACTACACTATCTTGGTTTCATTAAAAGTGTTTTTCAATTCAGCAACAAAATACTGTACAACGATGAAAAGAGTTTGCTCGTGTAAATTCGATTGAAGAGGTTGACACGATTCAATATCTGTAGAAATGTTGTTGCAAAAGGTTTGCCAATCTTTCGGCACTGTTTTTATTGGATTCTTGTTGGATGGATGGATGATCTTATTGAATTGGCACGGAGTAATTTTCTCTATTTTTCTGACCACTTTGAAAATTTTTAAAAGTCCATCGGCATTTTTAAAAATAAAATTTAAAAATATTTTTTTTATGAATTTTTAACATTTTTCATTAACAACGTTGAAAGAGAGATTAATTGGTCGAAATGGACTCGATCACTGCGAGACAATTTATATTGAATTAGTAGTTCGTACACATTTTAATGTTCGTCAAATATTCGAAATCGACGTAGTGACAATACTGTATCACGGACTGGACCGCAACGCTCTATTTGAAAATGTTGGTTTATTTGAAGAACTTGATTTTAAAGTTCCGACAAAACGTTTTAGCATTTGGTCCTATTATTGTTCTGAATTCTGGCTACACATTTTTGTCTACTTGTTTTTTTTAAGGTTTCAATTAAACTACGATTATTGATCCAAAGCGTTTGGAATTTTTGCTGTTATTGAAGTTCGTTTCCAACACCCCTTCCAACATAACTGTGAAAAACCTTCGAAGGAGCTACTAAAAATCTTTGGATGCAATAAATAGGGAATATTTCGATAATTATTAAATTCTACTTTGCTGTGGAACACTTCGTTCTAGTTATACTGTATGTGCGAAAGATTTGTGAACGAGGAAGACCTTTTTCAGTCGTCGAGGATATACGATATTTTAAAATTTACTCATGCGAAAAATTATCAATTTTAGTCCCACGTAGAACAATCACGAAGTTCTTGATGATTTTTTAAATTTCAATCGATCTTGGAAAGTGGATGACAGATTTTAGTATTTTTTTTCTCCCCTGACGTATTTTTCAGAAAGCATGTCGCAGGAAAATAAATCAGCATGTACTGGCCGTAATTTTTGAAACTGAAGTGTGTTTTCTGTTTTTCATTTATTTTTTTTTGACAGGACTTCATGGTTTCCTTGGCTTATGATACTTACGCAAACCTCATTGAAAATGGAGACGAAAACGGACTACAGGAGTTGCTCGCTACAAAGACGCTCGGCATTGACGAACGAAGCGAGGTAAGACATTCGTCTTTTCTTTTTCGTGATTTTTCTTCGTGAATATTTCGTTACACCGTGTTTCGGTGATGTGCTCAATGCTGTCAAGGGTTTGAGTTTGGTTTTTGATTAGGATTCTTTGTCAAAGAGACGTCGTCTTTTATTTTTAGTGTGACAGAGACGTCGCGTGGAAGCGCGGCGTTTTTTCATGAATATTTCTGGAACCCTGGGTACACGAGTGAATTTTTGACCATAGATTCTCGAACCCCGATGGATGCCGCGTGATCATGCTTGATGAGATTTTCGTCGATATCATCCGCCGACTTGGGCGAGCAAATTTAAATTATGATCCCTTCATTCTTGTTTCACGAGGTTCTCTTTTAATTATTTGAACGCGTGCGAGTTGGAGAGGTAGAAGAGAAGAGGTGTACGAAAATTGATGCCATTCTGTGTGATTTGATGGAAATCGGGAATTTAAATCAGTTTAGGTTTCTGTCGAGAAATCTGCGAACCTCTCGGATAACTGATAAAATTGAGATTTTTTTTGCGTTTCTTTGAGCCGAAAAATGATGAACTGTATTTATATGAAAAGCGCCTAAATTTAGTTATGAATGAATAACTCAAAAATTTTTAGTGAATTGATGAGGGGAAAATTGTTGTAGTCCTGTGCTGTAAACGGTATTCTCAGTTCTGGTGGATTTTATTACTTTTGTGATCCGTAGTCCCAGATTTTATGCATTTGACTGAACAGAAGAAATAATACATTTTTTAGATTCTTTTCTGCGACAAAGTTCTTATGAAATTGATAACATATTTCTGCCGCGGTGTCTGAAATTGTATGGAAATGGAAGTTTGAGAAAATACATTGAGATACTTTATTGCCTCACATTCATACCGTGTTTATGGTCATACAAAACGAAAAACTCTCCGCGCAATTTTGAAATTCTTGATTTGCTCGTAATTATTATAATTAATCTCATTAGTGTCTTGGATACGTGTCCTACATATTCTAAGACTTCGGAACGTCAGTACAGTACAATTATCTCTAACTATTCTTTTCTACATTTTAATTCCTACGGTGTTGATTATACCTTTTCACGTTTTTTTCCTCATGATGAATGTTTTCCAAGCGCGAATGTTTTCCAATTAATATTTTGAAGTACAGAACTTCACTTACATTTTCAACGTGTCCATGAGATTTTTGGTCCATTTTCATGTCTCCCCGTAAACAAGAATAACTGAAAATACCTGAAATTCTTGCGCACGGGAATTATTTTTTTCTGTTCTCAGTACAGTATTCCTAATCCAGTGTGGCACTTGAGTTGACACTGAAAATAAATTGAGGCGAGTTTATTTCACTGTTTTCCCCCCGTGTCAAATGATGAACGGCCAAAGCTTGCACAAATTTTATGCACAGTATTTGTTACTCGAAGTCCTCGACAAACACCTGGAATTCGCGACCTTGTCTGGACTTCTCTACCACATGACTCATGTACGAGGGTTCTAACAAAAGTTCTCGGAATATAAATTGAAATGGCATATAATCGAGCTGGAAAAATAATCTTTCTTTAGGCAAAACATATTCTTTGGCACACAAAAAATCAGCCCTGTTTGACAATTTTTTTAAATGTTTTGCAAAATTCATCCTGGCAGAGTTTTGCTCTACACTCAAAATATGAGACGCCCTTCCAGCAGATTTTGTTGTTGTAGTCCAGCTTTCCCCTCAGAATTCTTGAAATCAACGTGGCATTGGTTCCAATGGTTGCCTCCAGGTCTTCCGAGGTAATTCCGCCATTTTCATCAATAGCCGCCACATTCACAGCCGCCACTCAAGTGCGAGAAATCAAGAACAGAAATTTGTCGAACAGGGCTGATTTTTGTGTGCCAAAGAATATGTTTTCCCTAAAGAATAATTTTTTTCCAGCTCAATGATTTGTCATTTCAATTTCTATTCCGAGAACTTTTGTTAGATCCCTCGTACAGTATTTCGAACCCTGAGGGGAAGAAAGAAGAACAAAACTGTCGGAGGGAGAAGAGGTTTTAAATTTCGAATTTCAGGGTCGGGAAATTCGCAGCAAATCTGGTATCCTCTGTAGGAGGAGAGATGCTGTCAGAATCCTCGCCTATAAAAAAGAAAAAAGAAAAAAACTGATCCGAAATTTTCGAGTGTACTGTATTTCCCGTGCGTCAGTTGTACAGTACGTGTACAGTAGTGTACTTCCCTCATTCCCGTCACTGCGATTCTCTCGAGGAGCAAATAGGGACTCGACACGAACGCAAGAAAAAAAAAAAAGAAAAAAAAGACGCCTTCGTGGAATTGACGCGTGGGTGAAATGACGAAGGCCAAGGGAAATCAATAAGCCGAGACACGAGGAATGTGGAACATAAGAAACGAAACGAGTAAGACACAAGGACGTAATCAAGGAACCCCGGGACAACGACATTTCCTACACCCCTCCGCCTGTTTGGATTCCGTCCATCAGCCCATTTTGTAGGAGGCCATAGGTGAGGGATCCAAGTGCCAACACGGGCCTCAAGCAGACTCTCTTCACTCTTCTTGTATTTCGAGCGAACAACAAAAAATAAGACTTGATGAAATAATTACAGTGAGACCCCCACATGCGGACGCATCGACATGGGGACATTTATTTTTTTAACAAACAAATCATAAAAAAAGACCCAACATGAGGACACTGACTCAACCTGGGGACATTGCAGGATAAAATTCCAAAATAAATTTTAGGAAAATCGATTTTTATAAGGCTTAATTGCAAGAAACAGATGTTT